CGGTCAACCAGTTGCCCTGTGAGTTGACGACTGACAACCCCACTGAAAAAGGTGATTGTTCGCCTCAGTGGGTAAATGTGGTTTGGATACAAGCCATTGTAATTTTAGCGACCTCAATTGGTATTGTTTGCTAAGCCACTTTTCGATGGTGCGCCCATGCATACTCCACTTATCAGCAACTACTAAGCGGCGGCTCCCTCTGGGAGACGAGCCCCGCCAACTGCTTCTGGCGCTCGATACTTGGCCTCACGCTCCGTGCCGGTATGAAGCCGCGGAGAGCTTCAGGCAGTGCATCTGCGGCGGCATTTGTTCCACGAGTCAGGGTAGAAGGGGAAATACTGAACTTCTTACAAAAGGAAGGTCTCTGTATCGATCCTACATTTAAAGCAAAAAGCAGCTCCAGAACCTGGTGGTTGTTCTGGAGCGTCCAAGGCCTTCGCCCTTAGAACCGGTAGGTAGGAATCGAAATGAAGAGGTTAAACCTTTCCAACTGTCGACAGATAGAATCTCTGCATTCCTATATGAGCAAATATGATAGTGCATTCGCTAGCCACCCTCACCCCTTCTGCATATTGCGCTGTACTGTAGTACATAACGAGTTAAACTGGTAGTGGCTAGGAGACTAATGTCAGAGCTGCACTGCCATGTGTCCTTCCAGGATGCCTGCTCGAGAGACTTGAGACAATTTAACTTTACTAGTGGCGCATCCGTTCCATACAGCTCCATTCATAGCGAAGGATCTCTTTTCTTAGACGACGATGGAGATTATTCAGGAACGCTGCTTCCCTAGACATTAGTCACCACCCAAGCACTATACTTTCGTGCGTCATGCAGGGGGGTATCGCAAATGGTGCATGGAAGCTGCAACCAAAAGGTTACTCCAAAAATCAGAATTTAAAAAATTGCCCTTTTTGGATCTGCTACCATTCCAAACGAATACTAAAGATTCATTTGAAATAGTGATTAGGACTCATAGAGTAGGACATAGCTTAATAGTTAATACAGTGATGGCTGATAGGTCTAATTGACTTGTTTTTCGCAAAATGCGTAGCACAAAGCAGACGTTAATCGGTTTTAATAAAGCCGATTTAGGACGGTTTTGGAAGGCACCTGCCGGTACAGATGCATCGCCGTGCACTTCAGAGACGACGATAGTCTTTGTCGTGGTTGAGTATCTGGGCGTTTATTAGCCATGACTATAGCTTGTTAGTTGTATTGCGGACTGCTATGTGGGCAGCACGTAGCTTAAATCTTGCTAAAAGGCTATGGAAATTCGTTGGTGGGAATCACGCTTTTGAATTGCTGATTTTGGCGACGTGGATTCCCGCCACCGTTTTGGAGAATTGGTAGTGGATGTTTCGTACTTAGCGAGATAGGATTGATTAAAATAAATGCGGTTTGTCGTATGTTATATGGATGGAACATAATTATTTATTTTTTTTATTAATAGCTGAATTATTGCAACAGGGCACATCAGGCGCCCTTTTGCCACGAAATGATTAATCAATTGACTTCGCCGTTGATATCGTAAAAACAGTGTCATTATGACACATCGTAAAAACTGAGAAATATGAAAACAAAAACGCGAGCAACACGAGCGTTGGCTGTTCTTTTTATCGTTGCTCAGCTGAAACAAGTGTTGCGCACGATAAATATTTGGTTTTGTGAGATCCGACCAAATTAACCTCTATTCGATGAATGGCAAAAATTCCTGACGTCCCAGATCGTACTTAAGACACCTCAAAGTCAAAGCAAGTCCATAACAGATATCTTGTTTGAGTTGAACACACAATAACCGTTTCGTAGTACGTTTTGTGGTGCGGTCTTTTCGGTTTAAGTGCTTAAGGTTTTCATTGGCTGCTGTGGATACGGAAAACTAGCTGGTAATGTGGGTGCAAACGAATGTGACCTATACGATCTACCGTTAAATTCGTGACGAGCTACCGCCGTCGCGGATTTCGTAGGGAATTAGTTTGGTGTGGCCTATTATCATTCACAAGTCATACATGTAGCTGTATCGTTCCAGCGCCCGGAACATATCCATCGTAAAAAAAGCGTAAAGGGATTGTGCTTTACATTTTCATATGCTTGCTGACTATCTTTCGTTGCTGAAGGTCAGAAATGCCACATCAAGTCAAAACGTTTACGGTATAGTATGCATCATCGAATCCTGATACTATCACTGATAGCCAATCAATGGTAGGTGGTTGTTTGTCACGCCGACATCATCATCATTTGATCAGGAAGAATTGTAGTTTGCGTCGTTGCACGGCAACTGTATTGCCTTGTTCGATGCTGAAATCTTCGCTCAGCAGGATACTGAGTGGATTGTCCTATAGCCGAGAAAAGCGATCTACCACTGTTGGGGTCGCTGGAAAAAACTCATGCGAGATATCTTCGCCCACTATAATCTCATGAATCGGATCGTGGAGCCTGGCATGCCATTATTGAGACCAGGCCACACCTTAACGAAGTGCCTTAGGCGATGAAGGCGGTGGTTGCCTGCAGCGTCTGTAAAAACACGAGCGTTGTGCGCTGCTGCTCGAACAGTGTCCTAATGTGCGTTGATTACTTCAACCTCTTCTTCGATATCATGCAGTCTTTCTTGAGAACCAAGTTCCAGTAGTATAGGTACTTCCGCCATCAGCGTGCTGACCGAGTCCACCTCCGCCTCGTAGTTGCTCAAATAGGTGTTTCCAGTCAGATTAAAACGATGGGATGCACAGCCAATCAGGGGTACGTTCAGGCGTGTCGCAGTAGCTTGGTTGGTAGCACAGCTATCACCAATCAGAAACGTCAGGTCCGACTCTGATAGGTGGAAAATCTCGCTGATTTTCTTGATAAATGCACAATGTGATTGGTCCGCCAGGTCACCTTCCTCCATCGGTGCAATGGCGAGCAGCACTTGCATAAGCCAGTCCTTGTGGGAGTACACTCCGTAGATAGCCACGTAGATCTCCAGGAAAAACGTAGATGCGTCATGCATAAAACCATATTGGCCAGAAATTTTGGCGCTAATCTCGGCTTCTACTGCTGCCACTACCAACGACATGTAGCTCTTGAGCCTATATGAGCAAACAGGCTTAAGCTTGGACATGCTTCTCGTGCGTGGATCGTCGACCTCGCTTACGGGCATGTTGCTGACGACCCACTCAATCCACTGGTACATGTTAGAAGCAGCTGGGTTGACAATCCTAAGATTAATAGCGACCCAGCCTGTCTGCTCTGGTTGGACTCGAAGTCGTCGAGATTGTCGGGGTGGCTGTCCTTGAGATGGCTCACCAAATTGGTATAGCCACTTGACGGGAGCCGCTTGCGCCGCGTCCCACAGTAGTTGCAGGTAAAGTAGTAATCAGCGTCGGCGACGAAAAAGAAACGGTAGGGGTCGCGGTTTCGTGCAGAGCTCATTGTGAAGGTTTTGCAGTAGATAGAAGAATCAAAAGTGAGCGCTCAAAGCTTATAAGCTAAATTTAAATGCCGGCCTAAGCGACTATGAATTTCAGAGCTCTGGGCCATCCAACTTTGGTCATGGGACCAACGACAGCATACCGAACCGTCACCAAACTGCGTTGTAGTAAATTGAGCTCGTAAGCAATAATACCTCGATATATTAGTTTCAAAAGCTTATAATTCCAAAGAAAAAAACAAGTACTATTGATATTGATTATTGTTTTCGAGCACTGTCCTGTACGATCCAATCGCTGCATCGCTTGGTCGGCGTCTTCCCGTATAATGCGCATTTCTCGTCTCCGGTCAAGTAGTTGCTGTTCTATGCGACGCAGTTGCTGCTCCATGTTGCCTGGGAAGGCAACGGCCCACTGGTCAGTGGTGGCAATAACGACGTTGGAACAGGCGAAGCAACGTGATCTACTTTTTACCACCCGTGGTAACGTTTTTACGCGTTTTTACACGCTTTTACGGATATCGAACACAAGATAGATTCCTTCATCACCAGAAGGCAGTTTATTTTGTGTTAGCGTGTCATGAGGTCCCACGACTAGGAGCTGGCGCGTCTCCGGACGTGTAGTGGCAAGCCCATTTTGCTGGCTGGAATCTTGGGTGACGTCGCTGTAGCTCTGGCCCAGTGGTAATTCATGGCAAGGTGAGTACGTATCACAGCAGCCGCTCAGCCAAAACGAGACGATATGCACCAACATCACGTTCGGACTGCCGTTCGACGCCGACAAGTACGAGGACGCTCTGCGCGTGAGCTTACTTAAGACGTACCTTGACTGTTGGAGGTTGTACGGAGATCGGCGTGAAGGGCCTTAACTTAAGTAGCAGCCAGCGCACTCGTGTGGTCATCGCTTGTGGGGTATATCAGGACGTCAACATTTGTCTGCTGGAAGCCGTTCTGTCTGCAGTGGACAGCCATGTGGGCACCAACATCTTCAAGGCGTGCTTCAAGAAGTCGCTGAAGGGCAATCTAGTGCTGCTAGTGGCGCACTCGTTGAGCTTCGTGTGCCACTGCGACCAGATCGTTGTGATTGCTGACGGAAGAATCACTTAGCAAAGATCGTTCAAGAAGTTGATGATGGTGTCGAATAGTGAGAATGAAGAAGACAAGGAGGACAAGATGTCAGCAGAGTGTTTAGAGAATAACTTGACGCTTTCGAGTGATGAGCGACGAATTCGAATGATTTAAAAGTTGCAAATACTTGGTAGCCAGCGTTGGCAGCTTGTATTGAAAAAATAAATAAGAGCGCTATTACAACCTGGCACGGTTTACCTATATCTACGAGAGAGGCATCTTTAGCGTCTGGTCAGCTTTTACGGCGATGCTGCTACAGCAGGTAGCTCCACCCAGCTTGAAAACAGCGCTTCTAGCGTAACCTGTTGAGCTCTCAAACCCATCAAGAGCTTTTCCCGATGATACGATGGAATATTTTCATCTGGAAGCTCTTGGCTTCGGTTAGCTACAGGAACTGGCTCGAGTTCTGGGTCGGAAACATACCATTCCTCGTCACCGACGTTATTCACAATATTTTCTCCATCGTCTTCTAGATCGACGATGGCGTCCAACGAAAAGTCACTGCTCCAACAGTCTCCATGTAGTCTACATCGGTAACGTCAGCCAGAGCGAACAGCGAGGTTGCTAGATTGGAAACTCCGTGCATCTGCTGGTTTGGTCTCTCTGCAGGGTCAACAGGCTTCTTCTGTCTTCGACACTCGCCGAAATCACTTTCCCGGCGATTGCGTTCGCGGACCTCATTTCGAATGATGCCGATGAGTCGATCTTTATCAAACTTAAGCTTATTTCACCGCGGTGTCTGTATCAATTCCAGTTCGCTAAAGTAGCGCTCGCATGTCACAGTGAACAATGCGAACGACAGAATCACTTTCGCTAGCTGAGGAAGTTTACTGCCCTTGCCGTACCACGAATCTGCAACGTGGACCCAATAATCAATTACCCCATTCGGTTGAAGGACACCGGATTGGTCAGTGAAGTCAGTGTGTATTTTCGGGGTAAATTTGCCACGCAATCACTTGTCGACATTGCCTACGAGTCCATTGCTGTTGAGATCAACATAGCGGCGAAAGTAATAGTCAGCAGCAGCGGAGATGCCGTCTACTGACATTAAAAAGACAGTGTTGTCGTGAGCTTAAATTAAGGCACGCGTATGGGTCACGTAGCGCGGGTGCAATGCGAAAGCGAGAAGTATCAGCGGTTGCTCACAGTGTCCCCATCGCTTCTCCACCACCGGGACTAAATGAGAAGCGTATGGACTGGCAACAAAGGCAGCATGTATTTTTCAAAAGCACCGCACGACGTCCGCCATCGTGTTGTCATCTTTTTGTAGTCGATAGGATGCTTCCGACAGCGGCGGATGACACGCTCAGCATCGATTAAGTTTCTCCAGAGCAGCGGATCGCGAAATACATGTAGCGTTGTAGGGAATTCAACATCATATCGATATTCGTGAGCCAAATCTTCTAGCGCCGATCTAACGCGAAGCAGGTTTGCAAAGCATGCCTGCATGCTATTCCAGCGAGTCTCACACAGCATAATAAAGCCAAGGTTTCCCAATACATTGCATAGACGCCCTCGTTCGCGCGCACAAGCCACTTTGCCGATGAACTGTTCAAACTTGCCGTCGCAGAAGCTGCCTGCTTCGTCACTGTTCTGAACACTGTCTTCAAAACGGTTTTAATCAAGCTGTTCACGTCATGAGCGAAGCACCGAAAAAACACAATATTTGGCCATCTTAAGGACCGTATTTGTCTGGCCCTTGCGCATTGACCCGCATCGTCAGCTACGACGGCACCAAAAATCCATCCTAGCGCCAACGCTCTCATAAGTGATCCCTTCATCTGCTTGGCTATGGCAATGCCATGGTGAGCTGAGTCGACGGGTAGTAGCTCAAACTGGACAACAATGCCAAACATGCAAAGTTGGCATGTAAGAAGGTGACGTCGAGCGACATTCTGGTATACTTCAGAAAGGTAATTTATCCGCCCGCCAGTATCCTCTTGCTTCTCTCGCAGGCTCGCATTTGGCGCCGTTTCTGCGCTTTCTGCATTAATTTTAGGGATACGACCTCGGAGCTTTTTTCTTGTCGGTAGCTCATCGCGCGGCTGCATCCGTGCAAACAACCTCTTGGTTGAATCGCGCTCGATGAAATAGTCTGGTAGAGCGCACTCAGCTTGAAACTCTAGAAGATCACGATCAAAGCTATGTTGCTCGTCCATAGACATAAAGAAATCACTCATCCGTTTTAGCCGATTTGCTGTGGTGCTACTCGAAGATCCAATTGACGAGATGAACCGCACAGACGAAATTGCAGGAAGGGTTGTAGCAACAACCTCCGGTCGGTGGTATGGACAGCGCTTAAGATGACTACGATAAGCGTCGGCACGATCACGAATTGACTCCGGTGATGCCACGTTGCCAGCGCTGTTGACATGCGCGGCTTGGCACTTTTTACCCACCAGTGGTGCTTGTCGGATACGCTTCCATCCTTCTGGACAATGAGCACTTGGCTCTTGAAGAAATACGCTCTTCGGAAGCTGGGGCAGGCATCGGCTAGAAACGGAAGGTAAGACGGGTTCAAAAGCTATTGTATGAACAGCCAGGAAGTTAGAAACTGTGATTCTGCGGCGAATAGCAAGCCACACTCTACGCTGCAAAGTTCCCTCAGAATGCTTACGAAACAACGCGTAATAAGTCCGTAAAAACGTTCTGACGGGGGGGTTATTTTTACCGACCTTTTACCAACGTTTCAGCGCTTTCAACGAAATTTCGTTTCTACGTCGGTTGCCAACACTGCACTGGGGCACTAGGTTACGATTCCTTGGCGCCACATGCTGCAGGGTTATAGCAGCATTTCGTCGACTACATTCTGGACTGTGGCCGCAGCAGGGTCAGACCGATGAACTCGCAGCCTAAAGTTTCGTCCTGAAAAGCATTGTAGACGTCCTGGCGGCTGAGTGGAGCGTCAGCTACAGCACCAGGGACAGCAGGCAGCCAACGGTGGCAGTTGTGGAACACCATCTCTGTAGTCATGACTCAAAGCACCGGGTGTCTACCGGACGGAGCCTGCTGCTTGGAAGAAGACGTGCCTACAGAAACTAGGAATATGTGACTAATAGAAATAAATTGAGCCGCCAAGAGGAATTAAGGTGCTGCACTTTCGCAATAAGGCTGCCCGACGGGCATTTAAACTTTTGAAATCAAATCGGAAAGTCTCCACTTGCTTGACTCGTTTTCGAGCCACCTCGCTAAAAGTCTTTCTCGACACGGACGACTTGGCCTTGAAGCTCGTGGAGGTGGTGCTAGCATATGCAGTTTTGGCTACAGTAACGTTAGAGAAATGATACAGCAAAGGGACTTTTAAGGCAGTATCTTGTCGACGGGCTGTGCTCTCGATTAATTTTTCGCCTGTAATCTAATTTCTACTACATGTATTAATACCAATTATTTTGCATAGGTCGGCTGGAATTGCTCAAGTTGTCAAGGGGCTCGTGGTGGTCCTGGTATCAAATTTCAACAGCAACATTTTGGAAGGCTTAAATAAAAACGACATAGTGATACTCACTTGATAAATCTTTGTGACCCTTTCGAAGAACGGTAAAGTTGTGGCCTGACAACTTCTAGTCAATTTGAGCCCTGATAGTTTCTCGTGATGCTGTGTACACGGGAATGCTTGTTGGTGGCCTAGGTGGAGCAAGAACTAGATAAACAATTTTTGATTGACAAATAATAGATGCTGGTTTTGACCACAGGCGTTGGGCTTACATCAAGTTAACGAAGGTTGATGACTGATACTTCGAGGTACTAAAGTATGCAACAGCACAGGCCTCGACATCAGCACCCGAAGTCAGTCAAATGTGCTTGTATTCTTATCCCCCGAATCCACTGGGACGGTTACTCGGTGGGGCCCTGTTCCCTATCAATCGCATCATATCCCACAGTTCTCTACTCGCCACCAAGCAAGAACCCTGTTCAACCCGTAGGAAAGCTCAAAGTACGAAATGTGTGCCCAATTCAACCCATTCACGTCGACAACGCTGTCGTCTTTCGACATCTCCGAGCAACGCGCGGGTAAAATCTCCCCTCCACGCCTCGTGATTTTGGGCCCACCGGCAGGAGGCAAAGGCACTCAATGTGAACTTCTCGTTGAAATACTGGGAGTGGTACATCTCTCCACTGGCAACATCTTACGTCAAGCGATTCAAGACAAGACGTTGCTAGGGCTTAAGGCTCAACATTTTATGGACCACGGGGAACTCGTTCCGGACGATCTCATTGTTGACGTGGTGCTCAATCGACTAGCCGAAAGCGACTGTGTCACTCGTGGCTGGCTACTAGATGGCTTCCCACGAACATCTCGGCAAGCAGGAGCGTTGTTAAATGCCCAAGGTGGTTTGGCAGCTCCTGACTGCGTTTTGGAACTAGAAGTTCCGGACCATGAAGTCATTCGACGTATTGCGGGACGACGTGTTGACCCTGTTACGGGAAAGACCTACCACGTTGAGTTCAACCCACCTCCTGTAGAAGTGGCTGCTCGAGTTGAGCAGAGAAGTGATGATACCGAGGAGAAGATTCGAACGCGATTAACGCAGTTCCACTCTAATGCGGATGCAGTGCGATCGGCGTTCGAGAAGTACCGTGGTGACTTTGGAGCGTCTATTCAAGTCATGCGTGCAAGTGGGTTTCAGGCGCCTCCAGCCATCGCCGGAGCGTTTGCAGATTTCGCCTTGCAACAAGCAGCTCAACGCAGTCTCAACCTCATCCGACGGGATGTTTCTATGCGTTTGAGACGTCGTCTTGAGGCTGGAGCTCGTGGAGTTTTTCACGTTCCAAATCCTCAAAAGAAACCGTCGTACCCGGTCCGTGCTCACGTCCGCGCTCTACACGCTTCCCGGTTGCTCTCGCCGCGTGAACAGCGAGCTAAACCTGTCCGCGGGATGCTGCGTGAGCTGCTTCGAAGAGTGTGCGCTTAAGATCTTAAAAGAGACCTAAGTTCACCATCGTAGACGCCTATTTCTTTCTAACGTCAGTCTTGTTTCAGCTGTCCGTTGGGTCCGTTGTTTCCGCGCGATACGCACTGAGCTTTTCCGGCAACTCCAGACCGTGTCGCGTGCAACAGCGTTATTAGAAAAATAAATCTTCCGGTAACAATAAACACAAATAAGATTGCATGTCCGAATAGTGAACACGGCAGCGTGGCTAGCGATATCTACAGCCTGGTGGTTGGATATGTCTGCTACATGTACAGCAATACTTACTTGCAGTCGCTTATTGGTGGCACCAAGTTGGTGCTGGAAGAAAGCCTGAAATGTCGCGTATTTCTGTGCAAAAAAATCGAAGCAATTTGAATTTGTTTAGCCAATTAGCTTACAGCAAGGAACGAGTACATGTAGTGGCATCCAAGTTGAAGTGGCAGCAAATCTTCCATCGCATTAGTTACGCATGTTGTTTGCATATATAATCGACAATCAACTCTGGAAGTGAACGATAGGCCGAAGCTGTGATCATCGATCGTGTGTGCGTTTGCGAGTCTGGAGCTGAGACGACGCTACTTGTTCGTTGGCGACTACCTTGCAGTTTTCGCTTTCGAACATCCAGATTCCAACTTATTGCCCACCGTTTGCTGCTTCATCGCAACCTGAATCTGTACACTTTTTCAGAGAATTCCGCTGGCAAGCCAAAAATCAAATGAAAAAGTCCTGACAAAATTCCCGTTCGGGACGAGTCTGCCAGAAAATTCCGTACGACTAGCCTGTCTTCTTCAAGGCAGCTGCATAAACCACACATCCTCCTACAGTTACGACGGGCGTGCCAAGCCCGCATTCTGACATTTGCCAGCTAACACTCAAATGAATTCGCACAAGTCACGCCGTCGCTCATTATCTGAGAGCTCCAAGCTCGACTACCTCGCCACACTGGCCGAGCAGGCCGACGAGCTTCCTGCCTTCGCGCCGTCACCCGAGGAGCCCGTGGACGACCATTACCCACTTGTTCTGTCCGTGCGTCACGCCAGCGAGAGCCTCGCGGCACTGGAGCGCCGCTCCAAGTCCGAGAGCTTCATCTGTACGGCACAGGGCATCGTGTTCCAGGACACCAAGTGCCAAAGGTATCAGTCCAAGCTCAACAAACTCGTAGCTCTTGCCACCAACTCCACCAGCACGCAGAGCAACGTGCTGCTTGCCAAGAAGGCACTGCGATATCGCAAAGTGCTCGAGCGCCGACGCGTAGCGACATAAGAAGGAAATGCAAGCGAACTCAAGGGTTTCGTACAGTCCGTAAATGAGCTCCACGCGAACCAGCTTTCGTTATTTTTCTTATCAACCCTCACCAGTCAAGAAGTAAGGAATCTTTATGTTGTGGAACGTAGTCAATTGCTTGTAGCTACATATTTAAAGCCAAAAAAATGCAGCGTTTAGACACTTTGCGTTGATACTCGATTCGATGTAGTTCTGCAACAGAAAACAAGAACTTTGAGCTTTTTCAAATGCTCCACCTTTGTCTTCAGATAAGCCCACGACCGCTTTGAAAACACCTCCTCAGTGTTTACGATGTGCGAGCTGGCGTGCTTTGCGGGAAGTGAGTCAAGCGGGAAGTCTGAAGGTATCCTGCTGTCGTACTTCCAACGGCGTTGCGCTGGCGTTAATTAGCAGCCGGTGGCATGCCTTTCCAAGATCGCTTTACATGCTCAATACAGCTACACGGACAAGTCACGCGTTGCTCACAGGGACGAGGACAGCAGCCGGATTCGAGGTGGCATCTTATCTTCTGACAATATAACTCGTTTCACGAGAAACGGTCTTGTCGATAGACCCCTCAATAAAGATACAACATCGAACTATTCTGTTACCAAACTGCTTGTGCCATCCGCTGCGTAATTGACAATCTATTCACTTTCAACCGTCAGGTAATGAACCTTAACCGCTAAAATACCACCCGAAATGAGACTTTTAGTGCTCAGCAAATTTTATTTGTTTTTCATAAATATTCAGCTATGATTCAATTGCATGGCTCGCGACTTCTTGGAAAGCAAAACATTGCCGCGCGAGCTGGACGAGTTGGATGCTAGTGCGACAAGGTTGGCTAGCTTGGTTTCGTGATTCTGGTGCTTGGTGTCCAGGAAAACGACGCCCTGTCTGGTGCAGATTAAATGGCAGCGATCCATTAGTGACACGACCCTCCCCCTATCACCAAAATGTAAAGGTGTAGGCTGTTCGCGAGCTCCTTGTGTATTAGTACTTCGTCAGCCCCTTGGCGGAAGTCCTTCAGCAGGTAAGAGTTAGAAAAGTTGAGAGCGGTTCTTCGTCAAGTAAATCTTGGAATGAAGTCTTCACTCTATCACTGCTACATTCTTGCGATTACGATCGCTCTCTTATAACATGTAATAGTGACAGACGAGATTACGGGAATCGCCTTTCACGAGTTAGACTGGAGACGCCAGTATTCTGTTCAGAGGCTGCCATGTGTACGCTAGAAGAAGTAGCGCTGCTCACAGACTGGTAATAGACTTCGACGTAGCTGTGCTGCTCATCTACTGACAAGTGCGCTCGCACCATGGCTACGCAACCGGAATTGCCGCGGCATCTTATTACCTCCGTTCGCTGTCTTACCTGTTTACTTGATGCACTTCAACGGCGTGTGTACTACACAACCTACTCAGATTTTAACTAATCCACGTCCACAAACTCTAAGTGATCATTTTCAGGGATTTTAACCAATCACTGTCTCCAAAATTCGATTGATCACATTCAGTGGCAATGGAGGCGTGGGTGCGCGACAAGGTGTCGCGTCTGAACTTGGACGCCTCGGTTTACGTCGAGTACGCGCTCGGACTACTTCAAGATGAGGACATGGATGTGTCTGAACGTGTGGCCAGCGTGATCGCCGTTTTCTCAGGAGCAGCGGACGGTCTCGTGGCTCAAGACGTGATGGACCAGACACTTGACGAGCTTAAGATGACGCAGGACGTCGAGAAGCTGCGCCAGGCCGAGCAGCTACAGTCCCAGCAGGAAGCGGAACTCAAGCTAGCGGAAAAGAAGATGAAAGACCTGCAGATCCGCGAGAAACAGCGTCAGGAGGCCGAGGATGCGGCCGAGCGCGAGAAGAAGAAAGCTGCGGATCGCCTCAAGAACATGACACGCGAGGAGATCGCAGCGCGGGAGCAACTTATCAGCGAATATGGTTTCACAGTCATGTCTGAGTTTGACGAGGATGGCAACGTGGTGAAGATTAAAGACAAGGAGAAGGTGACGGAGGACGTAGGGCCCACTAACTCGAACAGACAAAGAGTGCAACAGGCACAGAAACGCCATGCGCGAGAAAATGAAAAAGGAACACGAGAAAAAAGTGAAATACGAGAAGGACCTGCTGGCTAAGGATAAGGCACGCAAAGACAAGGCCAAAAAGAGAACGATGAAGAAGGAGAAGCAACGTGGCTGTGGTTAAGACGAAGAAGAAGAGGATAGTATTGTTACAATACAATCGTGCACTCTACTGTACAAATGTGTTTAATACAATATCGGTATGATTTTTACTTGGACGTTTGTCTTGTAGCGGTACCGTAGTGCCTTCTGAGCGAGCAAGGCGTTGCTCTTGGAGCTTGTTGGGTCTGTTGCCAGCACCATTAGACTGTTGAGTCTGGTCTGGTATCTGCAGTACTTGCCCTCGAATTTCACACCTTGTGCCGTGATGATGACGCTGTCAGATTGAGAGCGCTCGGCGAGAGATGGAGGCATCGGTTGGGTAAAGCTTTCTTCGGTAGTCGCACCGTCCAAAAGGTGAAGGGAGCAGCGTCGCAGTAGAAAGGGTCTGCATGTCGCGCGTGACGAACGGCTTTGACTCATTGCGGTGTGACAAGCTCGAGAAGAAAAGAGCAATGACTCGCTGCAGCCCATGTAGACACAAATTATTGGTGTTGACACAACATATTTAAAGCTGTCGGAGCGTCCTTGAGTCCTCTTGATGCGTGGTTGAAGGAGGCTTGATAGGTAGAGCCGAAACTGTCTGGGGAGACTGCTGAACCTGCCAACACTGGAGGTAAACACAACTTTCCAGTGCACAGAGTCACCACTGCAACGCCTCATGCAATGCTCGCGACTTTTGATTGCGAGCGTCCAAGGGCGCGTGCTGAGGTTGCGTAAGCCTGAAAAACGGGCTCAGACCAACGGTCTAGTAATGTCAAGATGGATACGCAAGAGGTATCGCACGTTGGGGAAGATGCAAGAGGTCTATTTTCACAAAGTTAAGCACTGCAATCGTGTGCGATGAGCAACAACGCTGAGCAGCACCGCCAAAATTAGTACCCAACGGAGCGCACCCTACACAACAGTCACATCAGCTCGACGCCGTCTTGATTTACCGTTAAATTTACTCAACACTTCCCGTGACATCGGCGTTTGCGTGACTCATCTCGCCCTCGGTGTCGCATTGTTGCCGGTACAGTGTAGGCAAGTAGGATCAACCGCTCGTGTAGCTTTTTAAGGGATTACAGCTAATAATTTCTTTCAGTAACTCGTTTATACTATCTCGTGAATTACAGCTTATAAAAAACAAATAGAAGACCACTTATCACCGATAACTAACTCGCAAATTGAGCTTTATTTTGCTGTTCAGACAAAGAAAGAAATTATCCGAGGTGCAGCAAAGATGATGATAAAGGTGTTTTATGAAGGATAATAATAGATGTACAGTACAAATTAAAATCTGTTTTCTAGGATGCCTAATTCCATGGCGTTGATGGGAGTTGCAGCTTAGCTGGAAGTACGCAGGGTCTTGTTTCGATACCGGAGGGCTTTCTGAGCAAGCTTCGCGTTGCTCTCGGAGGTGGAAGGATCTACTGCAAGTGCCATTAAGCTCTCCAGTCGTGTCTGGTAGTTTCGGTTCTTGTCTTCGAACTTCACGCCTTGTGTAGTGCGAATAATGCCTTCAGACCTGGATCGATGCATCATAGGCTGATTTCCGCTCTGGTTGGTGTGCTCCTCGGCAATTGCAGCCAGGCGGTGAATAATGGACCGCTCTGACCGCGAGCATCGGCGCAAGCGGGGAGCGCATAGTGAGCTTGATGAGCCGTCTTGAGACATTGTGGAAGTGTGTGACGAGCGCAAGGTGAAAGGAGGAATGACTCACTGAACCAACACCAAGACCACTTTAATTTAAGTACTGTGCTGTCGGAAACGTCCCAGGGTCACTAGCAGCGTGGTCGGACAGATCTTGTAACGGCACGTCGTGATTTCTTAACCAGCCAAGACCAGCGGCACAGATTTTCGAGTGTACAGGCTCTTGTGAAAAACGCTTTTCGATTTTGATTGCGGACAACACGCTAATGGTTGCGTAGTCCTGAATAACGGGCCAAGATCAACGGGCTTAACGATCGATAATAGATAGACAACGCTTTAACAGAGACGCTGGAAAACAATCGTTGATTGCGTAAGTAAGTAAAACATCTGCTTACTTGCCCATGTTGAAATGTGAAGGGAGAAATAGTTAGTGCGATGAGCAGCATCACTGCTACGACCAGTATTACAGCGGTGTTGCTCATCACTGTAGCAGCTTTTAAGAAGCTTGCACCTTGGAGTCCAAGTTGGACGCTCTTGACAGATCATAGATGCTGTTTCGACGCGACACATCGCTGTAGCATTACGTTTTTTTTCGGTACTATTCTTGCTGGAGGTGGTATTACGGGCATCCTGGCAACGTTTGGTTGCCGGCAGCCGACAACTACGGAATTCTATTAATCCACTCAGAGATGATAGCAATGTAAAACTGTTGAGCGACGTGTTAAAATATCATCCACCAATGAAACAAGAAAGTTGCGTTGACATTGATAGCAGCGATTCAAGTCTCGGCTAAAAATGGGTTGGGGATATTTGGCCAGGAAAATCGTTGGTTTGACTTTACGGAAGAGCGGATGCGACGGATCTTTAGAAAACAACTTTAGCACGGACGAATTTATATAGAGTCGATTGAGAGGTTGGCGTACGCGCCAACCAACTCACTTGATGAGCGTGAGGGCTCAAATAAGTGAGACAGCACGTGGGAGAATACGCCTCCACTGCGATTAATGGTGATAAGACCCCGTAACTTTCAACAACGATGTGAAAATGATAGCGAGCAATAGAGATAATTACACGGAGTCATACCGATCTCAAACAGATTTCATCAAAATGGGTGGTATTTGTTCTGGTTATTTGTAGTCTAATTAATATATCGGTGCTGCGATTTCACGCTGGTATAGCTGCTTTGCTGGTCGCGCATCGCCGCTCCGGGTTTTGTTGCGGTAGCGAAGTGCCTTCTGAGCAAGCTTCGCGTTGCTCTCGGAGCTGCATGGATCTGCTGCGACCACCATAAGATAGTCTAGTCGCGACTGGTATTTTCGGCACTTGTCTTCGAACCTCACGCCTTGTGTGGTATGGATAACGCCTTCAGACCTGGAGCGCTGCCCCAAAGGCCCAGGGGCGGAATTCTCGCTCATTTCAGACTGGTTACCGCGCGCTTCGGTAATTGCTGCTAGTCGGTGAGTGTTATAGCGCTCGGACCGAGCGCATCGACGCAAAGTCCGGCCGCATGTCGGGAGTGACGAGCCGTTTTGAGACATTGAGGAGGTGGTGTGACGGGCTTGAGGTGAAAAGAGAAGTGACTTGCCGGAGCAGTCGGTGTGCCATTGGGGTATGATTGAAGAGGGTTGGGAGATAGCGATGAAACTGCGTGGCGTTTCAGGGATACTTTTGTTTTTATCACGATTCAGCCAAATTGGCTGGCTAAACGCTATTTCTAGCGGTTGCGTAGTCCTGGAAAACGGGCACAGAACAACGGTGGTGAGTTTAGTAAAAACGCAAGCGCTGATTGCGGTGTGCACTAGTCTAACGGATTCTAGTCTAAAAACAGAGGCTTCGTCGTGATAAGGCCATGAAGCCACCCATTATTGTGGCTACCCATTCAAAACAACTGCTTCCGATTAGGTAGCGCTGAGCAACATCCTGCTACTTAGCAGCGATGTTGCTCACCGACCTGCAATCGATTTTTTTTCAGTTCTTTAGCACGATGTCACCTCCCTGTCGACTTCTACATCGGCGACTATAGATTTGAGACATCTCACTTATCATCAGATTCACTGTCCATGGCGAGGATTTTCGACCGTAATTTATGTTAGCAGCACGAAATGCTGATGAACTCAAAAGTTCGTACAGCCATTGTGGTTGAATCCTTGCACTACCTTGCCATACTTTACATATATGACTTGCCTCATTCTGCAAGTAAGAGGTGAAGGCTCTACGCTCGGATGGCGATCCACGCCATGCAATGCATGGATGCCGAGCGTGGCTTATCACATTCGGTCATTAGCTAGAGTGGAATGTCGAGCAAGACAAGACAAGCGTGTACTTAGATAAATGGCCAGATATTAGAAGTGTATTTCGAAAAGGATAGGACCACTACGGTGAAACAGCGGGCGCCTTATAATTCAGTGTACGGAGTCGCCATTTTTTTATCTACTAGGCGCTTCATTATTAGAACACTTTTGTCAGGTTAGATATTAATAGCTGCGTTTGACGAGCTGATGGAATATGCTCAACGCTTTTGATATTCGTTGAAAAACGGGTCAAGGCCAACGAATTTCTTGCGCTCTAATTGGAAGCGTTTAATTGGTACAGTTCTGTCCAAAAATCTAGGTCTGAGCGGTCCAACGATAACCATAAAGGCCATCAATTTCTTCATCTTCTTGAAAGAAGCGTGCTTCGCTCAAGTCTTAAAGTGTACAAACCGATTATTTATATTATCGAATTGTAAATCTGCCGAATTAGGGTCTTAAATAGACTAAGCGGCAACAAATAAAGCTAAAAAAACATTGCTTTTTATTTCGCGAATAGAGCTGCTGTTTATGTTCTTGAGCTCCGAAATTTCACGGGGCAGGTTACGGAGTGCGCGGACTTAAAAAGGGGTGCGAGTCTAAAAAGGTAATATTGCTGCTCCCTCTAAGCTGGAATCTAAACAAAGCCGGAGTCTAATACATGTCCAGTTACACTTATAGATTCTCAATGTGGAAAGTTAGCAAAGTTGCTTAACTGTCTGCGAAGGTACGTAAGGCGCGTGCTGGCGGCGCGACATGTGAGTGTGAATTTGCGTTTTGCGTGGCCTTGTGATCTAGTGGTATGATTCTCGCTTAGTGTGCAAAAGATCCCAGAGCGCTTTACGGTGGACCACGTTCTTTGCTCACTATTTTGGTCCTTCGTGAAACTCGCTAGTGTTGACTTGTGTGGGGTATCTGCTATGTCTGAAGGGAGTCTGCCTGGCTCCTAGCATGTGATACCCTAGCGTCCACCACAACGTAGACGATGGGCATCGCTTCGCAGACGTAGCGTGCGGGACCGGTGCCGAAACGCGTCTAACGTCGACAGGAAGGGTGGTCATGGTCGTGTGGTGAAGTGACCGCTATCTCTATAGAGGTTGGAATCGGATTGATGACTTACGACTCGATCGGGTGTTGGAAGGCCGCCAGTGACGACGACGCATCGGAGAGCACATACGTAATCAACAAGATCGGTTCAATACTGTAACGGGTTACGTATCCCTAAGTGTACCCCTAGTTACAGGATATTTGATACAAGGTACCAAGGTCGTCCGAGGCCAACCATTGGCTGATGACATTGCTTTTCAATAGGTGACTTATAGTTTGTATATTTAACTCAAACTTAGCCTACATATAAATATACTTAGTTTACAACCCACCTTAAAATTGGTCACCTCGCTACCTTTAGGTAAAAAGGGACATGTGAACTGTCGTTCACAGAGAGTTTGTAAACTCTCGGAAGCCAATTTCCTATAGCGCAAGGTGCTGTGTGACCCCGTCACACTTGGTAGCACTCGTAGTCAATCCACGCCAATGCGGGTAGACTATCTGAACCTCTATGAAGCTCGCTGCCATGAATAGGAACGACTTCCCCCTTCTGAACAACTCACAGTTCAAGTCGGTTCGGAAGATGGCAGGCATCTTCGGGATGGAGGCGCTGCAGAGCCTGGTGGTGTCAACACCGGCCGAGCAGCTCGAGCGCGTTAATGCGTTTGACGCTTACGAGCAGGGACGCATATCGCATGTGCGGGAAAACCTGCAGGCTCCGGCGGCGGAAACAAATCCACCACACCCGAAGCCAATACGACTGAAGGTTAAGCCGTATGAAGGGGAGGAAGGTGAGAACCTTCACTTTCGGGTTCGAGAGGCTGAGCTCGCGATGGACGCGGCTCTGATCTGGACCGAGCAACTCCGTGTTGCTTTTGCACTCTCCAACCTTAGCGGCCGTGCTAAAAGTTGGTTGTACACGCGGGAGGCAATATCCCCTGGATGTTTCACATCCTGGGCTCTGCTGTGCGAACAGCTCCGAGCCGCGTTCCCCCCGACGCATTTCGAGTACCACCAGCGCTCGCGCTTCCTCTCGTGCAAACAAGGGATACGTAAGCTGCACGTGTACGTCCAAGATATACGAGAGATCACGGCGTCCCTAGTGGAAAACCCACTCAACAAACACATCAAAATGACAGTGTTCATGGAGGGCCTTCGAGTGGGCCCAGCGCCCACTCAACTGTTCCGGGTTAGTCAAGCACCCTTGAAGAGGCGATTCAAGTCGCTCTTCAGGAAGAGTACAGCCATCGCCAGGCGCGTACGCCGGTCTCAGCATGGCCTGGGGGTTCCTTGTCGACTCCCGGTCGAACTAGCCTCAACGGGCCAGTCCCCATGGAGCTCGGGTCCGCCGAGCAGCACGACATTCGCTGCTTCGGCTGCGGGAAGATGGGCCACTTCAAGCGCGACTGCCCCGCGGAAAGACTCCGCTGACGGACTTTCCCCAAGCCCGTCCTCAAGGGTCGCTGGCAGAAGCCAGGATCCCGGGGACAAGCGAACGACGGAAACCAGTAGGGGCAGTGAGCCCTACTGGGGAAGAATCAAGTCTTCGTGAAGGGTGCGCGGGGTGGCGCGTACCACAGGGACTTAGCCCCGAAGAGGTTTCGCACTCTCGAATCGGCGAAGAGCAGCGGCGGGTTGCTCGTAGTACACGGATGTGTACGGGAATACGAACACCCCTTTAAAATCTTGATCGATTCTGGGGCGTTGCAGAATTTCGCACGCCGCCAGACGGCTGCTCGTTAAAGCAACACGTTGTCCGATGCTTTGAGAGAAAGCAAGGGCAGCGGGACGGTGTCAGTGCGACTGGCCGACGGGAAGGTCGTCACTGTCCCCAACGCCCAAGTGGATCTGGCCGTTCAAGCTTGAAGTCTTTGACAGCTTTGAGCAGCTCACTGCTCTCGACGTGGAACCCTACGATATGATCCTGGGCATGCCCTGGCTTGAGGAGCACGATCCCTGGAACGACTTGCGGGGAGGCAATCGGTGCCAGCCGCCCTGCGGTGTCCGACAGAGCATTGGTGAGTTATGTTCCCACCTCTGTCCGGACCCGGAGCGTCCGCAAGGGTTGCCAGGGTACCGAATCATCCAGCAGATGCTTGGGAGCCGTCGACGTATATGACGACTCCGAGGACGCTTCGATGGTGGCGGCGCCCAGAGGAGGCGCTGGCCAAATGGGTAACTTTGGTCCACAAGCGAGTAACATAGTTCCACAGACAGCGGCAGCTGTCACGAACGCTGGTAATAGCGTGTTCAAGGCGTGTAACAGAGCTCCACACACGGTCTTAACAGAAGAGGAAGACGTCGTATACGCCGCCGCCGCCGAAAGTTGGATCTGAACCTTGTTCAGCTTTACGTCGCTTCAAGCGACTCAAAGGCCAGGGCCCGGGCTCCTCCGACAAGGCCGGTGGAAGAGTGTTATCACATCTTCGATGGCGAGACCGGTTTACCCGTCAAGGCATCGGGTGTCCACTTGGAACCGTTGCCAGAGGCTGCAGAGATACTGAACCTCGAGGAAATGACGGTCGAGCCTTTCCTGGCCAACCTCAAGGCTGGGAAGGCTGTCGAGATGGTGCTCATAAGACCTGCGACCACTCGGGAGGAGCTGAACTCCTCCTCTGTCTTGGACGAGGACGTCCTGGAAGCCCTGAACTAGCAGCGTCAGACGCGATTGGGTTCTGAGATCCTTAAAAACCCCAAGAATCCGTGTATCCTTTGGTGACGGAGTATGCGGACGTGGTGAACAAACATCCACCGATCCAACTCCCATCAGATCGAGGCGTACGGCTCGCGATCGATCTCGTGTCTGGTACAAAGTACTGTGTCACGAGACAGTGGCCTCTTCCACGCGAACAGTGCGAGGTCATTGATGTCTTCTTCGCCGCGAAAGCAAAGGCAGGCATGGCGCGGGAGTCAAAATCCCCGCACAACTTTCCGCTTTCGGAGGCCGAACGGAAAGTGGCGTTTAGTTCATGCTTATAACAAGCTGAACAACGCAACGGTGCCGGCCCAAACACCAATCCCACGAAAGGATGTGTGTTAAACAACATGGCCGGGAGCGTACTGTACAGTGCGCTGGATTTGGTAGACGGAAACTACCAGATCCTGATGCGAGAGAGTGACATCCCGCTCACCGCGGTGAGCACTCCAAGCGGCATGCTTTGGGAGTGGCTCGTCATGCCGCAGGGCTTGTCTAACGCCCCGTCGACGTTCAATCGC